AGATTCGCAGAACATGTACTGAGAATGTCAGTATCAAGACCAGCAAAGAAATCCATGGAGTGGGAGCCGCCAAATGTGAGAAGGGGGAGAGGAAGGCCAAAGAAGACATGGCAAAGAACTTTTAAAGAGGATTTGGAACTGGTAGATCTAACATTTGACCAAGCGGTGGAGACCGCTCATGACAGAGGCAGATGGTGAGGGTCTCGCTGACCAATGTTCCCAACGGAACGGGAGGAACTGAGACTAAGAACTGGATTGTGTAACAAATTATGGAGTTGATTTACCACCACCCAACTGGATTGTATCACAAAATATGAAATTGATTTACCATCACCCAACTGGATTGTATCACAGTCTTACATTTATTTTTAAATTCCATCAGGGATGAAGGAAATGACAATTTTTAACAAACGTTTATATTAAAAAGCTGATAAATAAAGAGAAACTCCTGGAGAAATGCTTAAAAAATATGTAAGGACTTAGTATAAGTAAAACATTAAAAGATGATGTAAAATAGCATTGGGATCTGGTTAGATGGTACAGTATATGTGTATAAAATTAAGTAAATATATTATTTCTAGATACTGAAAAATAAAGCTATTATTAACATTTGGAAATATCCATGTTTGTCTTGTTACAAGGTTTGAGCTTGAGACTGATCTTCTAAGGAGAGCTTGGGTCTTTCACATTGCTGATAAAATATGTATCTAAAAAGAACATCCAAGTATAGAAAGATGATCAAGATTTATATTTAGAATTTTTTACTATTAAAACTTGTATTCTTTTGGTAGATTTTAAGATCTGTAGATCACAGTCATTCTGAGTAAAATCTGCATCATGCAAATTTCCAATAAGGGTACATCTGTAACAAGTGGTAATGCTTTGTAAAATACTCAGTGCATTAAGTAAATGAAAGTATCTACTTGTAATACATAACTGTAAAGTGACAAACTGATAGTTTTCTTTAGCCATATGTAATATTAAGTGACAACTTAGCTATGCAGCATTCATCTGCTAATTTTTGTAATCATTGGTCCTTGTCAAAATTCTTGTGGTTACTAAAACAGTTTAAATAGAATCTCCTTAAACAGTTTTTGTCAAAGAGATTTAGTTTTCACACTTCTTTCTTAGGTTTAAACTACAAGAAAATACCATTGTAAGGAAAAAGAGGTAGCCAGTATTTAAATTACTTTGAAATTAAATAATAGTCTATTTTTTGAATATAATTAAAAGCCTTTAAAAAGCAACTTCTTCATAAATATTTACAAAATTCATTTAAAAACTTGTAACAATATCTGAAATGTTACTCGTGTTAAAAACAAATTGGAAAATCATATTTGTATTGTACTTTTTATCTTTCTGTAAATTTTCTTTTTTTATTGAATAGTTCTACTAATTTTCATTTTTACTTCTTTTAGATTTCTAAACTACAAACAGCCATAGACAGTGAGTCTGAGAGACGATTTCATTTAGCTAAAGAAGAAACAAGAGTGTCAAGCACCTCTGAAAAAACACGTTTAGCCTTTCTGATTGCTAAGTCTGATGAAAAAATGCAAGCTCTTTCAGTTTTAATGCTTCATTTCCTGTCTGGTCTTCAACATTGTCAGGAACAAGAACATAAAAAGTCACCAGCATTGGTATCAACAGATGTTGCCTCTCAACATACCATTAAACAAACAAAAGAGAATTTGCCAAGGCAGGAGGCAACAAATGTAGTTGAACAAGCAGAAAATATTCCAGTTGTTAACATTCTCTGCACTGAAGATGATATAAGTAATGATACATTCCATCCACTCGATAACTATGATTATGCCACTGAGCTATTAGAATCTTCTGTCCCTCAATTAATGCTCAGTAATGTACCCTATGACCAATTACCTATCCCAGTAGTTAGGGATGATCAAGGTAGAAATATTCAAGATCAGTTCTTTTCAAACACTGATTCCCTTGTAGAACAGCTAGTGATTATTGATGATAAGAATAGTGATTTTTGTGATCAACTCTCAAAACACACTAATTCTTTGGGCTCACATGTGGTGACCAGTCATGACTGGAACATCAATTTTGATGAACATGTTTCATCACTAACTAATTTATCATTAAAACAACTAACTGGTAATAAAGAGAAATATAATGAAGATCAAAATCAACTTTCATCTCAGTCAAACTCTTCAGATCTTAGTGCAATAGCCAGTGAGGATCAGAGAAGCAGCCTACTCCTTCAGCACCAATCACAAACTGAATATTTTACAGTTGGTGATAACTCTTACCAAGAACTTCATGGCCAGGTTTCCTTACAACATATTACATTTGCTACTCCTGATCAAAGCCTTGATGATGATGATGAAAATGAAAAAAAAATATGTGAACCAACACTTCCAACAGCTTCTAGTGGAAACCACAATTGTTCCATTCATTCTGGTCCATTAATACAAGAGTAACAGTTGTCTTCAAAAAGGTAAGATTCAGGTCATTGTCAAAGGAGAGAAGTATCATGTCCTGACTGTAATATGTGTCATAAGAATAAGAAATAAAATTAAAAGCAAACTGTTTCTGCTATGAAAATTTAAGCTTTAAATTCAACAAAAAAATATAGCTTTTGGTATTTTGGACAAGCCGGGCAAAGTTATAGTTTTATAAAAATGCAAGAAACTATAAAATGGAGTTGCAGTCTATAATCTATTAAAAACGGTATAGCATTTATAGAAACAATTCTCAAAATTAGTAAAATATCACATTGAATAGAATTGTCAGTTTTTATAAAACACTTGAACTAATAGAAACATATAATTTTTTTTTCTTTTCAATTGTCAGTAGATCACACTATTTGATATTTTCACTAACTAGTGTTGCGTAGAGTATTGATAGTGCCATCAACTGAAAGATAATCCTATTGTTGTCTTAATGGCCAACTAGTTCTTACATAACAGCAATGTACATGTGCATTGTATTAGAATGACAAGAGTCAAAACAATTTCAAATAATGTTGTCTATGTAGTGGTAGCCATAAAAAAGAAGCTTAAGTTTCCACAGTTGAGATTATTTTGTCTAAAATACTACCTTCACATTGCTACTTCAGAGGCATAGCCAGTACTAGAGTGTGCAGGGGTCTTTTTTCCATAGAAAAAGGTGGACAAAAAGAACTTAAATAAAAAATTGGGTGTTTATCTTAAAGAATCAGAAGATAGAGGGCTTTTTAGAATGTTGGTGTAGTTTTTCAAACCATCCACTCTCCAGTAAGCACATTCTTGAAATTTTTCACATTATTGTAAAATATTTTATCCATAGGTGACTTCTTTTAGATTATTTGATAAAAATAATGCCAAGTCTAGTCAGCATAATGATAGTGAATTAGCTTATTTCTTTCTTAACATTTGCTACAGACTCCTTTCACTTGTAATTGTAAGCCTAAGTGCACAAACAGCATTTTAATAGAACTTTCCGTGATTAATGGTGAGTATGCTTAACTCACAAATAAACTTACTTCCAGGATATCCTCATTAATTATTATAGTAACTGGATGAACATGATATATGTGACTCCTAACACTGAACAATTTTTCTGACACTGAACTCATAAAATCACTGAATACTCATTAACTTCACTAACTGCTTATTCGTATTTGTAAATAATGTACTCTTGTATCTAGATATTAGATAGTGCTTCTCTATATTTACATCATCATGACAGTTAGCATCTCCCTCTAACAAACATCTCAATTAAAACATTGAAAATATAGTTTTAAACATTGCCCCATTTCTAGATTGTGAAGCCCCTTAACAATTTTAATACACAAATATGACACTGCACTAAACTGTCCATTCACCAAGTCTTTTTCATAGTTTTCTCTTCTGAAGCCATGGTATACAGATGGGATGACCTCTTGTTCCTTATCATTACCTGCTGTCTTGTCACTAAGAGTGTTTTTCCTAGGTAGGTGGTCAAGTAAATCCACTAGTGACTATATCCTTGTTGATCCTCTAGAAGTGGTCTTGACAAAAACCATGGGCTACTCAACAGGTTGACTTTCTACTAACAGTTTTCACTTTGAAGTTACCCTCTTGGCTGTTCTCTCACCAACATACTTCCAAAGATAGTCATAGGAAGTTTGTCTGGTGTAGTAATTGTCATGTAGTGCACACAGATTTTTTTGGTCGTAGACTTTGAAGCTATTTGAAGTTAACCTAATCTCACATTCATATCTCTGCATGAAGTCAGTTTCGAATATGCTCCCTTCCTCATGTTCACCTCCTACACATCATGAGGTGTAGAGAAGCTTTCACTTTCTGTTTGCATCAGTACCTATTCTTTCTTCATCTCAGGAGGCAATTTCCCTCCTTTCATAGCCAAATTGGGTTGAACTATTGTAGCTGTAGAATCAGTACCAATCAACATACTACAAGACTTCTCATCAGTAAACTTATGGACTCATTTTTCTAAATAATGAACTTATCATCTCATTTGGGACATATGGAGTATTCTAAGCTGCACGTACCTTATAAGATCAGCTAATTCCTATTTTGTAATGCCCAGTTGTCTCTTTGTTATTCCTTTAATATAGTTGTGCTCAAATACTCATCCTTAGGTATTATCTATTTGGTGTATTAATAGCTGTTGATTCTTCACAGTCTTCATTGTAATAGCCAGGTTTCCTATATATATATATTGTCATGGAAATTTGATGCTTCAATACTACAGAATCTGATGATTCCATGACTTCTGGACGATGCCTTTAGTAGTTTTATTTTCAATCTAAATGGATTCAAGTTCCATTACTAACTAAATAGCTTCCTTTAAAGATTTACACCTACTATGATTAAACATAATTTGTAAATCTTCATCTGTTATGACAATCTGTAAATTGGTCACATGCCAACAAATCCATACTTACACAAGAATCATCCAGGTAAGATGATTGGGCAAGCCTTTCCAAATCTGCAATTTCAACTGAAATCTATTTCTTTCCTTTGTACCCTGGTCAATAACTTTGCTCTGTATGCTTCCTTCTGGTATGTCACTCTGAACCTGTTGGATGAGGCAGCTACCAATGCAAGATAGTTCTTGAAGCTCTCAGGCGGAAAGTTACTTTAATGTCATTAAAGCTAGTTCTTTTAAATTGGCAGCAAGATGAATAGCTTGTTGTTCACCATTCCACCTGTTCACTTTGGAATTTATTTCAAGTTGAGCCTGATGTGTTTCCCATGGTACCATTCAATCATAGTCTATTGATTTCTCAATTGGGCAATGTTGCTGAATTGACAAATGATTGTCCAAGCCCATGCTGCTTGCTTTCTGCAAGGAAACAATTTATTTTGTGTAGTTTTATCTGTTACATGGCACCAATGCATTAACCTTCATCCAGGTTAAACTAAAGAACACCAATTATGAGTATGGAAGTACTTTATCCCCACCTCCACTAAACACACACATACTTACAAAACAATGGATTGTTCCTGTACTTGCTCTAGCCAGTATTGGATGACTTTCCTATAGAACATCAGATCACCCAATGCGCAGACAAACAGACTGACAGACAAGCTCCACATTTGTTCATCCCTAGGATACTGATTCCAGATCTGAGAGTGGAAATTATTACTTTTCTTCTGTGAGTGATACATCTTAGATGGAATCAGAGATCCACCTCTCCACCATGTTTAGGCTATCACCATTCACAAGAATGAAATCAGTATCAACTGACCATTTTCTTGGTTTCACTCAGAGGACTTGAAAGATTGTGACATCCATTAAAGTTTTTGCCACTGCTATATATACCAGGAACTTAATCTCTCACCCTTGTACTCTCATCAGCACATACTGATCTCTACCAAGCCCTGACACAGCTGGACTGAGCACTGAACTCTTTAGTGCAGGCAGTTCACTGTGTTTCCCTAGGATGGTGGCCAAGCCCATCTTAGGCTTTGCTACCTTTCTGGAACATTTGCCACAACATCCATATCTTGGTACTGGTCATATTGGACCTGCTAATCCAGCAGTTGATATTGATAACCATGCCTAATTTGTTGCTCAGCATCTGCTGAGCTCTGTTTAGCTGTTGATTTCAACCAATAGCTCTGCCATATTTCCTGCTCAGTAAAGTATGCACAATTCCTTTACCTTTGCCCCACTGGTCTGCAAACAGAGCAGGCACTTTGCTGTTCCCATCCTGGATGCTATTCATGTGGAAGCATCAGCACTTGCTGTGGTCTGACCTTCAGTGCATGTAATACATGGGTGTACTTGGATGATCCTGCCCACTTGCTAAAGACCAGTGTGGCTGCATTGCTGTACCAAAATTTGTAGGTGTTTGGTTAGGTCTAACCCGATGTGGTGGAAGTGGCTGATTTGAAGTGAACATTTCAAATTATTTCATGCTGGGCTCTCTGTGAGAATGAGGATGCCCTTCACTTCTGAGTGTTGTTGCATAAACACATTGAGGTTTCCCTCAATTAACCAATCACCTAGGATATCCTTCTTATATTCAAAGCCCATTGCCAGGTGTGCTTTCCGAAGCAATTGGTACAGATCATCTGTAGGCACCTATTCCTTTGAATATAATCCTCTTTCAAGCCTTGAACTCACCCAGATAAATCACTTCATTCTCCAAGGGGTCACAGTTCATATATAACTGTCCCACAGTACTCCTGCAGATTCTTCTTCAGATATGCTCAGAAACAGTCTGTTTCAGATTCCATCCATTTAGGCAGTGACCTGCCTGAAACACTTTAGTAGACCTGTACCACTTTAGGTCCTTTTTTACCATTCCACTGAACAATGGGGACATGAACTGTTTGAGTGTGGCCAAACAGCTCATGCACCCAGTGTTCATTGAACTATTCAGCCTCACCCAGAGGGACCTGTGGAGCCAACCAATGTTTCATTCTCTTACAGGATCCCTACAAATATGTCAGGTGGAGATACTGATGTTGTCATCCACTCTGGGTAGAAGTTGCTAATAGGGAATCTGACACCCAGGTAGGCATTTGGTTCCTGGTAGAGCTATGGAGTGATGAGTTGCTTAAAGTGGCACGTTTTACAGTCCTACATGACTCAGGTATCACAAGTCACTGTTGAGGATGCAAGGAACCTTTAACTCCTGAAAGGGATCTCTCCCAAAATCATGGTTCTCAACTGTGGGTGCCATTTGTCTCACCTGCCAGGGAAAGAAATCTGACTGGTAGAGTTCATACTCCAGCAGCATGTCCAACCTCTATCCACTCTTCTTTGGTGGCCTGGACCAGCAATGGGGCTGTGGTGCTCTGACTAGAAACAGGTTAGGAGTCCAATAGAGACCTCTCCAGATGCCATTTCACTTGGACCATCCCTAAGTCTTTTGTGTTTTGCTTCTGCCAAAACTGATCCTCAGGGATGTCATTTGCTCAAAAGGTCTGGGTACACTAGACACAAGCAATTCAGTCTGAGTCTACAGCTGCAGGCTTACCAATCTCATGAATTTTCACAGTATCTGCAAAAGTCCTATGTCCAGCAGAAGATTTCTCATATACTTTATACCTTTTCCATACAATCATCTCTTTCTGCCAAACTCTCCCTTTTGGTTGTGAGTACTTTTACACCCAGAATAAGCCATACTAATTGTAAAAATGTTCATTTAAAGTAGATTAAACTCAGAAGGATATGCAAGGGCTAGTATGCATGTTATCAACACAAACCCTGAAATAGATCCTGTGATCACTCCAAAATTTCTTCTTCCTATGTACTTGTGGTATTCTCAAATAAAAATGATTTCCTTGCAAGCATATAATAGGTTGCTTTAGCAGCAGGAAATTTGTCAAGTAATTTGATTGACAACTTAACTGAGTTCTCTAGTGTACTGAATAAAAAGGACAATTTTTTGAGAAAACAAGCACAAAATGTTATATAAAAAACAAAAGAAAAAGCAATATGCATACTTGCACAAACAAGATTACAGTAGATTATCTACTATACTTCAGCTTTCAATCTCTCAGGACTGAATTCTACAGAACTAAAAACATGCTGATCTCAAAATCTAGTTCTCAAAAATCTACAAGTAAAACTGAACCAATACAGTGCTATCGAATTCAGTTGGTTTTTTTGTCCAGTCAACAGCACCACCTTGTGACTCTTGTTCTCTCACAGCATTCACTGGCTGAACCATGCAGACATTGTCCAATCAGCCAACAAAGGATATTACAGTCATTGACTTGTTCAAAATAGATGTGCAGTGTTAATGCAATATCTCTTAAGGCAGAATAGATGTTATCTGCTATAAAGAACAAAGCAACTAGAACAAAATAAATGAAAATTTTAAGATTTTCTACATTACTAAAAGAAAACATAAAATATGCTTACGAATCACATCTTGACCTTGCAAGACGTAGATAGATTTCTTTGGAAAAATCAAACACTGTTTCACTTAGTCTATACCTCACAGTGCCACTGTTCAGTGGTTCTTAACTGGGGTTCTGTGGAACCCTCAGGTTCCTTGACAGACATCCAGGGTTTCTGCAAGATATTGGGGTTCCATGGAATGCAAGAGTTCTACATATCCTAATGTGTAAATACTACAAGTCACATAATTACAATCTGACTACATTCTATTTCTTTATTAGTATAGTGGGTTTCATAAAGGCACAACATAACAACAAGTCACTGCATTTTTTTAATTTACTGAACAAGACTAGGTACATATAGTTGATAGTATTGCAGCAATATAATGAACACTGTGAAGGGTTGTATGACACAAATTTAACACCAGAAGAGTTCTGTAGATTCAAAAACGTTGAGAGCCACTGATGTGTAGTTCTTACAGTCAACCAATCTGTTATATTATTGCAAGCTAAATTTTCATTTGCTTCAATTTAGATGTTAGGTAGAACATGCATGATGTTAAGGTCAAGTAAGTTCATAAAAGTAATTGCAGAATACCTAGAAAGTTCACAATGACAATGATATCAAGAATCTAGTAATTTCAACTAAAATTTAGACATGGGTGCATTATTTATAAATATCAGTAAGTAGTTACTTAATGATAATGTCAGAGTGAAATATTAATTTGAGTGGTAAATGAAAATTCAGAGAAATTAGTGGATGATCACATATATTCAGTGTTTATAGTAAATTATGTTACTCGATCAATTAGATGTGAAATTGTAGAAGGGAGTTTATTTGTACATTAGTTGTAATACCATTAGTGAGGAATTTCCATTGAAATGATATTAGTGTATTAGACCTACAGGTGAAACTTGTTGTATCAAATATTAAAAAAGAAATAAATGTTGTTACATGTACTGGATCTTGCATTATTTTCACCAAATAATCTAAAAGTACCTACTAAATGGTAGAATATGCTACAACAGTGCAATCTGATCTGTAAATTTTGTTTCAGATACATTTCTTATAGTTTTACTAAATATGAATATTTGGAATGATAGATGAGTTTTATAAGTACTTATTGTGATTTAATTATATTATGCATACATGTTCATGTAATTTAAGGACAACAAGGCCATCAAATTCAGTATACCAAACTCTTTAAAAGTAAAATGAAATACTCAAAACCAGTCCTTATCATTCAAGTATTTATCGAACCTTCCCTTAAATTAACTGCATCTACTATAACTGAAAGCAACACATTCCAAAGGCCAACCACCCTGTTAGAAAAATAAAGCTGTTTTAGCTGAAAATGACTCTTATCCTGATAAGATCTATATTTACTACCCCTAGTCTTACCATTTTCGCCATTAGATACAAAAAAAAAGATGCATCAACACTGTCAATTCCCTTAACAATTTTAAACATCTCAATCACATTCCCTCTAGCTCTTATTTTTTCAAGACAAAATTTCAGAGATCTTAATCTGTCCTCATATGGCAAGCTTTCCATCTCAGGTATTATCCTTGTAGCCCCCTTCTGAACCTTTTTCAACAGTTCATTACACATTCTAAGGTAAGGAACCCAAGAATGAACACACTACTCCAAATGTGGCCTTACCAGTGGTGTTATAATCTCTTTAGACTTGTAGATACAACCTAAAATCCTATTTGCCCTGCTGTTAGCAACAAATAGATGCATAGAATAATTTTCTTTATAATATATGCATGTGCATAAATCAGATTTTAACCTGTTATTTTGTTCTGATTTAAAACAGAAATTTATTATCTTGAGCAGGAGTAAATGAAAAATTTATTCTTGTTTGTTTTCTTTGTGAGAGGTTGGAACATAGGAGACTATGATTATTTAATATTAGCTCTTTGGAAAAACAAAAGAGAATCTTGAGTTGACACATTAATATGATGATTATATAAACTATTTCTAAGCCTGTTGCTTGAAAATTCTAATTGTGTGTAACTTTATGAAATTGTTTGTAACATTACGCTTCATTATCAGTTTCTTATTAAAAACCTTTACATCTGCATTGTATGTTATTGTGAAATTGTGGTGTAATTAGTAACAGTCTGTTGTACACTTTGAAATTATTTCTTACATGTTTGTATTTGTAAATATCAGTAAGGGAAGAAAAAGCTGAAGGTTCTATATTTTGATTAACATTGTGCTTATTTTGCTGCTTTATAAATATATGTAATACTGTCATTATATAAATTTTGTATTATGCAAAATTTTTATTTACTTTTCCCTTTGATGCGACTTCTAATTACTTGTATTATTCTCTACTCTTTGCACTTGTTTGTTGAAGGGAAGGGCTTGAGGTGCTCAAACCCTACCCTTATCCATAAATTTCTAATATTTATGCAAAAAATTGTAAACTAGGAAAAGTCATATCTAGATAGCTGAATAATTATCTCTAATCTGAAGTACTTTAAAACAGTGAAAAATATTCTATATTTTATTTACTCAGTAATGATTGTAATGTACATGGAAAACATTAACTATATTATATCATTTAAAAATTAGTGGATTGAAAGTGAGCTTATGCCTTAAAACAAACCTAGTTGTGCTCCTGGAAATGAGGATACCAGTATTAGCACAGATATGTGTAATAATCACATACAAAGTAATTGAATTATCTGTTGATTATTCATTATAGAGCGATCTTTAATATGAGATAAACCCCATTTTCAGAAACCATGGCAAAGAAAAAAATATTGAGTGTTATAATTGTCCTTTTTTAGGTCCACAAAATCAATGCAATAACCGAACAACCTGCAGGTGGATTAGTTGTAAGAATTAACGATGACCTTCAGCAAACATCTGGCATGCATGCATAGACAGATGCTATCTGGTTATTCAAGAATGCATCAGGGTAGAGTAGGGGAAGGGGCCTGTGGTCAGCTTCAATTATAAGACGACTATGAATTTTACAGCCTAATTGTTAATCAAAAAACATTGAATTATAATATGGTATGTTGAAACACCATATAAAAACTTAGTAACACAAAAGTAAACATAAAAGTAAAGTATATTTAAGTGTAAAGTTTCTGTTGTTGTTTTTTTGCTGGGTCTGGTGACATAAAGCAAAACAATTTTATGTTGCTTTTGCACCATATTTAAATATATTATCTGCTGCTATTTTATTTTTTATAAGTAGCTTAAGAATTCAAAATCCATAAAAGCATAGTTTGTGTTGCAGTATATGCGTGTGGAATGTTAATCCAGAAGTTTGTTTAAATATTTGTTCACAAAAAAACTTCAGTTATAGGCCTAACAATTTTTTATATATATATATAGCAGTCATCTTATTTTCAGAAGTTGACAATAATTTTTATTTATTTTTGATGATTGAAAAGTGTGTAATGCTGCTTTAAAAAATAGTTTAATGTGAAGACTCAATTTAATTTATTGTAGCATTAAGAGGATTTGTTTTTTATAGTGATATAGCTAACCAAAGAAATGACCAATTTATCAGTTGTTCATTTATTTATTTTTTAATATCAAGAAATCATTCCAGTTTATAGATCCTGAAATTGTTACCAATGAGTTTCAATGTGTTATTGATCATCACTTGACTACTTCTCTATTAGTAAAGCTTTTCTTCAAGTTGTATATCAGTATTGTGATTCAAGCTGTTTCTTAAAGATCATCAAGATATTACTTATCAATTTTTAGTTTTTACATTAATTGTTAGTACAACATTGTTACATTTTTAAGCATTAATGTGAAAATATAGATTGTGCTGGAAGAAAGTACTCATTGTAAGGAATACTACATGAATAATATTGATTACTTAAATGTTTTGAATTTTCCCTAACACTATTTCACACATCTGTTATTTACAATGTACCACTGAAACTGTAAATCATTCTCCTTCATGGAAGGAAAACGCAGAACATGATTGTAGATGTCTGATTACTAATGGTTTAGCTCATAACTTCAAATTCTAATGAAATAATTATTAAGGAAAACATTAGTTAGCACTTGATATACACTAGTTTTCAATTAAAAATCTTTAAAAAATAATCTGGAAGTTCTCTAACAGCAATGGCATTCAAATTTATTATTATGAAATAAAGAAGTAGATATTTTTCAATGGTATTTTTATGGTTTAATTATATATTCCTACCTCCTTCTAGAATGGTGTGATGTTTCAGCAAAAAGAAAATTATTTTTTAAAGAATTGATATCTTCTATGTATGTGATAAAATATCAATTGTGTAAACACATCTTGCAAAAAAATTAATCTAGATTTCAAATGTTTAGAGGGCCATCTATGGTTGTATTTGAAGCTGATGGATACTGTTTGATACATTTATTGATGTTGTTATTTACAAAATATTTAATTAGATATATACCTTAATATAAAATATACTGCAATATTCAATTCATGTAAAAGTTTAATCGGTAATATATATACACTAAATTATAAAACAATTACAAACTATCTTCCATGGGCTTAATGTATGGTAATGAAGTCTTTGGTTTGAAGATCTTGTTAGACTATTTGTATTGTGTAGTTTGTAAAATTAGTATATTGCAATATCTTTTTTAGAGGATCCAGAGAAAATGTTTAATGAATTGTTGTTATATTTCAGTGAGTTGTTTGTAACTGCTAATTATTCTTTCTTCAGATTCCCTATGTTTTGTCAATCATTTCTTGTTAGTTTTGTAGTTTTTTTCCCACTATAGATAAATCATTGCAACATTTAAAGTTCCACTAATCTGTCATAATAATAGCTCAGACTGGTTTAATCTGCTGTAAAAATCCTCTTTACCTAATATCCACATACACACACAAACTGTATATATTCGATGACAAGGAACTCACTTTGAGACTAATAATGCTTGGAGGTGGCTTGAATAGGTAATGAAGAAAAACTTTAATATAAGTTTGACATAACAGCAAATGTACAACGTTTAAACAAGGTTTTGTCATCATCAGGTACAAGTAGTTTACACTGACACAGATATATATATACAGTATGGAACAAAGAGGTCATTTGTACCTGATGCTGTTATGTCAAACTTATATTAAAGTTGTTCTTCATTATCCATTCAAGCATTCTCTAAGCATTATTAAACTGTATGTATATTTATGTACATAAGTATAAAGTTAATAATTAAATTGCATTGTGGGAGGTCACACTGCCTTTTTTGTTTTGTTTTCATCTTAAATGAAAATAGCAGAGGTAGAAGACACAAGGTAATTAGTATGCATACAATGACTTGCATTATCATATTTACTGTCCATACATATAGGATTCTTTATGTAAACCAACAGACTATAAAATTATATTGTTGAAATATGATTAGTATTACTGATTTACCTATACAATTGTATGAAGTCTTATTCAGACATTCAGCTTATGGGCATGAGTAAACATATTCTACATTTGAAAATGAGAAGAAAAAAAAACAGCTTAATTTAAGATCTCTAGTCTCTCTCTTTATATATACACTAGCAAAAGTACCAGGCTTTGCTTGGGTTATTAGGTTGATTTATTCTATATGACTATCAGTGTGTGTATTCTGAACCTATTTTAGCATTATAACCTATATACTTTTGTTGCTCTTTTACAGGATGTGACCTGTTTATAAAGGTAACCTTCCCTCTGACTTGTCCTCTGATTTCAAACTTAAATAATAAAAAACTAACCTCTTTAATTTACAGAGCCTCTAAATTAGAAAACAACAAATATTGTTTTCAATTTTATAGTTTATACATTTCATTTTACACTTTCAGCACATAGCCTCTTAATAACAATATTAGTTTACACTTTAATTGCTAAGCAGCATGATATAAAAGCCACTGTTGGAACGCATTGTCACCAAAATGCACTGGCTTTTCTATATATTAGAAGATATTATATGAGGAACCACATCTTTTCTATTTGGTTTTCCACTAGATTGCTTCATTAAAAAGATGTGTACGCACGTGTCTGTAAGTGATTTATATCTATAATTTGATATATATATGGAACCACTTCTTTTGTATGTGGTTTTTGCTAGCTTGCCTCATTAAAAAGATGTGCATGGATAAGTAATAATATCTAGGTGCAGGCCCTGAGGATCCACTTAGTATGTGTGCAAAATTTTATGTTTCCAGGTTCTTTCCTCTTGGAGCTATGGTTGGTCACACATACACACACACGTGTGTCTGTCTGTCATTTCTTTTTGTAATATAAGGAACCACTTCTTTTCTATGTGGTTTTGTGCTAGCTTTTATCATTAAAAAGTTGTATTATGCATGTGGATAGGATAAGTAATAATATACAGTTGCACACCCACAGGGTCCACTTAGTATGGATGCAGAATTTCAGGTTTCTAGGTTCTTTCCTCTTGGAGGTGTGGCAGTCACACATACACAGATGTATGTGTCTGTCTGTCTGTGATTTATATTTGTAATATAAGGAACCACTTCTTTTCTATCTTTTTTTTGCTTGCTTAGCTCATAAAAAAAATGTGCATGCACATGGTTAAATAATAACACCCAGGTGTACACCCTCCAAGTCCACTTAGTATGTGGGTAAAATTTCAGGTTTCTAGGTGCTTTGCTTTTAGAGCTATGGCAGTCACATATTCTTTTCTATGTGTTTTTTTTTTCCTTGCTTACCTGACAAAATAATGTGCTCACACACACACATAGATAAGTAATAATACCCAGGTGCACACCCTCAAGGCCACTTAGTATGGGTGCAAAATTTCAGGTTTCTAGGTTCTTTGCTTTTGGAACTATGGCAGTCACATATCCTTTTTTATGTGGTTTTGTGCTGGCTTACCTGACAAAAAGATGCATTTGTGCATGCACATAGATAAGTAATAATACCCAGGTGCACATCCTCAGTGTTCACTTAGTATGTGTGCAAAATTTCAGGTTTTTAGGTTGTTTCCTCTTGCAGTTATGGCGATCACACACACACACGCCCTTTTATCATAATAGAGTTGCGAAAGTACCTGGCTTTGCATGGGTTATTAGATTGATATATTCTATATGACTATGTGAGTGTGTGTTTTCTGAACTTATTTTAACACAGAAAAACAGTCAAAAGTATTTTAAATATATATTTTTATTGCCCAGAAACGTACAAAAGTCATAAAAGTCCATAGTCTAACAACAATATTAGGTTATACTATTGTTGCTAAGCAACATGACATAAAAGCCATTGTTGAGATGCATTATTACCAAAATGCACTGGCTTTTCTATATGTCAGATGTTGTTATATAAGGAACCATTCTTTATATGTGTTTTTTTTTCACTAGCTTACCCCATTAAAAAGATGCGCACACACACATGTGCGTGTTTGTCTGTGATTTCTATTTGTAATATAAGGAACCACTTCTTTTATATGTGGTTTTTCACTAGCTTGCCTCATTAAAAAGATGTGCATGTACATGGGTAAGATAAGAAATAACCATTTGCACACTCTCAGGGCCCACTTAGTATGGGTGCAAAATTTCAGGTTTCTAAGTTCTTTCCTCTGGGAGCTATGGCAGTCATACACACACATGTATGCATATGCAGTTCTTTTCTACATGGTTTTTGCTAGCTTGTCTCATTAATAAGATGTGCATGCACGTGGAGTGATAATACCTCAGGATTCACTTAGTATGGGTGCAAAATTTTAGGTTTCTAGGTTCTTTCTTAGCAAATGTACCTGGCTTCCCTCGGGTTATTAGTTTGATATATTCTGTGTCAGTGTGTGTATTTTGAACCCTTTTTAGCATAAAAGTATAACCTATGTATTTTTGTTGCTAAGCAACATGACTTAAAAGCCATTGTGGGAATGCATTATTACCAAAATGCACTGACTTTTCTATATATATATATGAGAAGTTGTTATCTAAGGAACCACTTCTTTTCAATGTGTTTTTTGCCAGCTTGCCTCATTCAAAAGATGCACATGGATAAGATAAGTAATATCCAGGTGCATATCCTCAGGGTCCACTTAGTGTGTTTGCAAAATTTCAGGTATCTAAATTCTTTCCTCTTAGAGTTATGGTGGTCACATACAGATCCACAGACATGTCCTTTTATTAGAAATACCATTGTGATATGCAAGTTAATAGAAAGACACACTTGTTCAGTAATAAACAAATTCTGTTAGTGTTTGCATAAAATCATTGGTTAGACTTTCATTGAAAACAAATCAGTTTACTAAGGTTTCAAATATGAATCATCATTATCTGTTTAAACTGTTAAACAGGGTTATTAACCCTTATGTTGTTTGACAGCTTCATCATTAGATGTATTTTGAATAATGCAGTATGACTACAAAATAGAAGTTATTGTCTTGTTTTGTTTTTCATTTAAGCTCATACTTGTATGAAGTTGTAAACTGTTTTATGCATTCAGTTCTTTAAGGCAGAATTCTTTACAGTTAGGTATCTGTGACTTGTTGGCAATAAATTTCAACAATAAATGGACAGCACTCAATACATTTGTTTTAAAATAATATATTCAAAACAAGTCAGACATATGTACAAAACTTTGTTTCCCTACTTGTTAATGCAGTTGTATCCAAAGCTTTAAATAATTCTCTCTTTTTCATCAAAATCCACACAGGCTGATTCAATTACTTTAGAACACCCTTTAACACAACAAATTATTCTCCTCTGTCTTTGTTATCAAAATACAAGATGTGAAACTCGCATTAGAAATCACCTGTTATGTTTGAACTGGTACATAGATTATCTTCACTTTTACCTTGACC